GTCCCTCTCACATCAATGTTTCTCCTCTCCTCTCCCTTCACCTCCCCTCTCTCCTCCCCTACCCCTACCCCTCCTTCCACGCTCTCTAAAAAAAAGAAAAAATGAAAAAAATATCCTCACTCCTCCAGTGAGGATTAAAGAATAAATAAAGTATAGATAATAAGGCTCTACAGACCAACATTAAGAATTTAGTTACCTCTGCTTCTCTTTTCTTTGCCCGTGCTTTCTCTACTTCATCCATTACTTTTTGAGATTCTTCCACATTTCCTTCAGCTCCTAGTTGTTCCACCTTAGCCAACAATTTACCGATTTCTTCATTTAACTCATGAACACGTTCTGCCTAGAAAGTAACAGAAAAAAAAGATCATGAATAAAGAGCTGACAAAGTATCAAAGTTCAAAGTATTTCAGAAATGCTCAGAAGTTATTATATGAGGCAATATAATTATAAACAATGCTTTCTGAGCACATCATAAATTCGTGAGACATTAGGATGTTTTGAGCTTGCCTGCCTTCACTGGATACATCTGATCTCTATATAAACTAGCACTTTGCAACCTCGGCTTTGGCAGTGTATTCCAAGTATAAAATACCTTTTCTTCTTGGGATGTCACCCCTTTACCTCACTTGCTGGCCTAGTGAATGTCTATTCACTGAACAAGATCCAACTGGAGTCCATTCTGTGAACCGTTCTTGATCAATCATTATATTTCACCTCCACTTACACACAAAAGCAGAGAGCCAAATCCTCTTTTGTGTTACTTTTGTATCTTTTACAACAATTACTTTTATATACACTGAGTGGCCAGATTATTATGACCGGCCAGATTATTATGACCACCCCATCAGTACTTCATTGATACTTCCAAAAATACGGAATATTGAAAACTTCCTAAGCAAATACTCTCAAGATTTTATCATTATTATTATTTGCATAACTAATTCACTTCATTGTACTGATGGGGTGGTCAGAATAATCTGGCTGGTCATAATAATCTGGCCACTCAGTGTATATCATACCACATCAAAGATAGCTACATATATTTCCCATCTTTGTATTTCCAATGTCCAACAAATAGCATTAGCTCAAATATGAGTTAAAGATATAAACTGGGTCTGGTGAATTCTCTTTGAATCAAAGATATGACTAGATATCTGGCTTATGGGCAAGTCAGTTACTAGGTGTACAATTTTCGTCATATTATTTCACCTGAATCTATTTCCTCATCTGACTAGTAGGGATTAATATCTCACAAAGCTATGAGAAACAAGAAAAGGTGCCTTGCACATACATTGCTGATATTTAGTATAATAGCATGACAACCCTTCTCCCTTAGTCCATGTCTTTTCACTGGGATTAATTTTTTCCTTCGGATTTGATATGTCTCCTCTTCCTCCTCTTCATCTTCAGCACCACCATCATCCTTAGTTCATTCCTTGACTTTTAATGGCACTTGATAGATACACATAGACTATTTTTTGGCCGTAAGTATTTATCCTATGTAATCAATTATATTAGCAAAGAAGGTTCTAATTTGATATGGACATCTGATCTCAATAAAATAAGACTTCTCAAATAATCTTTACTTCTCAAATTTCCTTCAATCCAAGATATTCACCCCTCAAAGAAATTCCCAACTCTATTATCATTACCTCTTTAACAAAGTGGTATTTTTCTTTGAATGATTGCATTAATGCCCCAAACTCTTCATCCTTCCCTGTACCCATGCCCTTTACTATTTTATCAAGTATCATCATATTCTGAATCTGAACTTGGCCACATAGTTAACTGGCTTTGGTTAACAGGATGGTAGCAAACATGACACAAGGAATGACTTGAAAAGTGCTTATATGAATGAGCTTTTGTACCTCAACTCTCACCGTGAGAAATTAGTTCAGTAACCCCCAGCTGACTGGAAGACAAGGAAGAGGGCCCCGCTAAGACAGGAATAAATACCCAGTCAAGTTCAGCCTAAATCAGTAGTCAATGAACTAAATAAATATTTACTGTTTCCAGTCACTGAATTTTGAGGTAGTTTGTTAAACTGCATTTTGGTAGTGATGAATAACCAATACAACTTGGGGTCTAGCCAGCAATTGTGGATCCCTTTCAACCATGATCCCTTGTACTTTAGTATGTCCATCTTTATAACCCTGATCTTCAGAGAACTCTTCAGAAAAAGTTGGTTGAAAGTAACCTTTTCACAAATAAGGGAATCCACTTCCCTTTGTACATACATATCTAAGCACTATAATAGTATTTAATGCTGTCATGTAAATCCTACCTGGATAACTATCACATTCTGCATTTTCATAAAATGTACCACACTACATGGAATGGTACAGAATGTTATAAAGTAGTAAGTCATCAAACCAACAAAATGCAATACATGGACCTTTTCTGAATTCTGATTATATAGGAAAAATAAACACTGTTTATTAAGTAATTTTTAAATCTTGTTAACTTCATGGATATAACTCTGTGGTTATATTTTAGAGGTGAAATGATATGACACCTAGAAGTTGCTTATCTACACTAATAAAAGAGAAACATGGTAATTAGCGTACGACCGCTACCCTTTTCACTGGCTAATCCGTGCGTATATGCAAATTAACTGTCAGCCAAGATGGCAGCCGGCAGCCAGGCACTGAAGCGAGCAGGGAGACTTGCTTGCTGCAGACTCCAACGTTCCCCGCCTCACTTGCCGGCCTCTCAGCTGCAACTCTAAGCAACTATGTACTATGTTGCAAATAAGAAGCTAAACAAAACCCCAGAAACCAGCCCGACTGAAAGCCAGCCGGACCGAAACATTGTATCGATGTTTTCAGCAGCGAGGCCTCAGAGCTAAAGCTGACCCAGAATAAAAAAAGAAAAAGAAAAGAAAACAAGGAGCGGTTGGAAGCTTTAGTCACTCGCCAGCCGGAAAACAGCCCTCAGTCCCTCACCCACACTGGCCAGGCACCCCAGTGGGGACCCCCACCCTGATCCAGGACACCCTTCAGGGCAAACCAGCCAGCCCCCACCCATGCACCAGGCCTCTATCCTATATAGTAAAAGGATAATATGCCTCCCAGGACCGGGATCAGCGGAGCAGCGATGCTCCCAGCACCGGGATCAGCGTGACAGGGGGCAGTGCCCAAACCCCCTGATCGCCCTGCGGCTGTGTGTGTGACAGGGGGCGGGGCCACAACCTCCCTATCCACCCTGCTCTGTTCGTGACAGGGGAAGGCGCCCCAACCCCCTGATCAGCCCTACTCTGTGCCTGACAGGGGGGAGCTCCCCAACCCCGATTGCCCTGCGGCTCTGTGTTTGACAGGGGGGAGGCTCCCCAACCCCCTGATCGGCCCTGCTCTGTGTGTGACAGGGTGGAGGCGCCTCAACCACCACTCTCCCACGGGCCCCTGCTCTGTGTCTGATAGGGGGGGACTCCCCCATCTCCTGATTTGCCCTTGAGGCTCTGTGTTTGACAGGGTGCACGCACAACCAACCCCCTGATAGGCCCTGCTCTGTGTGTGACAGGGTGCGGTCCCCAACCCCCCCCCCCCCATGGCCCTGCTCTGTGTGTAACAGGGTAGAGCCATAACCTCTCCATCGGCCCTGCCCCAACCCCCTGATCGGCCCTGCTCTGTGGGTGATAGAGAGTGGGGCCCCAACGCCCCTCCACGGGCCTTGCTTTGTGTGTGACAGGGTAGAGCCATAACCTCCCCATTTGGCCCTGCCCTGAGTGTGACAGGAGTGCAGCGCCCGAACCCCCTGATCCGCCTTGCTCTGTGTGTGACAGAGAGGCGAGTCCCCCAACTCCCCTATCGGCCCTACTCTGTGAGTGACAGGGGGGAGCTCCCCAACCCCCTGATCGACCCTGCTTTGTGAGTGACAGGGGTCAGCGCCCCAACCCCCTGATTTGCCCTGCTCTGTGACAGGGGGCAGCGCCCCAACCCCCTGATGGGCCCTGCTCTGTGAGTGACAGGGGGCAGTGCTCCAACCCCCTGATCGGCCCTGCTCTGTGCGTGACAGGGGGTGGGGCCGCAACCTCCCCATCGACCCTGCCTTGAGTGTGACAGGGGGCGGTGCCCCAACCCCCCAATCGGCCCTACCCTGAGCATGACTGAGGGTGGCATCGCAACCTCCCGATCCACCCTGCTCTGTGCATGACGGGGCGGTGCCCCAACTCCCCAATCGGCCCTGCTCTGAGCCTGACCAGGGGCTGCACCTAGGGATTGGGCCTGCCCTCTGCCACCCAGGAGCAGGCCTTAGCCAGCAGGTCGTTATCTCCCGAGAGGTCCCAGGCCGGGCTGGGGGACCCCCTCCCCCGCCCCCGAGTGCACAAATTTTTGTGCACCGGGCCTCTAGTCCTATATAATAAAAGGCTAATATGCAAATAGACCAAACAATGGAACAACCAAACAACTGGTTGCTATGACATGCCCTGACCACGGGGGGGGGAGGCACGGAACATGTGGGCGTCGCCCGCAGCGGGATGGTCAAGCAGGTGAGCAGGGGCACCAGACCAAGGCAGGGCGCCAGACCAAGTCGCAGTCGCTGTCAGGGTGAGCCTCTGGTGGTTACTGAAAATTCTTTGCTCCTGCACACCGTGGTCCCGCCCAGTGCTCACACCTGCTGCTGGCCCCGGCCCCACTTGCACCCACTGCCGGTGCCGATTGCTGCAAGCCGGCAGCGGGTGTGAGCGGCGGTTGCTGACCCCGATCGCCCCTCAGGGCTTCTCCACCTCCCCCTGATCCTGAGGGGTGATTGGGGCAGCAGCCGCCGCTCAAACCCACTGACAGTGCCAACCCTGCTCACACCCACTGCTGGCACCAGTCCCAATGGCTCCGCACCTTCAGTGGGTGCGAGTGGGGCCGGTGCTGTCAGCAGCGGGAGTGGCAGGAGCAGGACTGCCAGCAGACAGGGGACCAGGGGCTGCAGTGGAAGGGGCAGAGGGTAGAGCGCATGGAGGATGGGCCGAGACCCGCTCCCCTGTGCCCACCGCAACCTTTCAGCCCACAGTTCCTTTCAAGGTGCACGAATTCGTGCACAGGGCCCCTAGTATAATTATCAAGACAGAAAATAAGTTAGTGGCTGCCAGGGGCTTGGGGAAAGGGTGGTATGGCTATAAAGGGGTACCATGAGGGAGCCTTGTGATGATAATGATACAATTAATGTAATTATTATAATATTTATCCAATTTGCACATGTGATAAAACTGCAGAGAGCTACACACACAAAAAACAAGTAAATGCATGCATTAACTGGTGAAATCTGAATAAAATACAAAGACTGGACCAAAATTAATTTATTGCCTTTGACATTGTACTGGTTGTGTAAGATATCTTAACATAAGGAGAAGCGAGAGGAAGAGTACATAGAATTTCCTGTTTGTCTTTGCAAGCTTCTGTGAATGTAATTTTTCAAATTAAAAGGTGAAATTATATTCTGTACTATTAAAAAGATTGACGCCCTAGCTGGTTTGGCTCAGTGGATAGAGCGTCAGCCTGTGGACTGAAGGGTTACAGGTTCGATTCTGGCCAAGGGCACATGCCTGGATTGCGGGCTCAATCCCCAGTGGGGGGGCATGCGGGAGGCAGCTGATCGATGATTCTCTCTTATCACTGACGTTTCTATCTCTCCCTCTCCCTTCCTTTCTGAAATCAAGAAAGAAATATATTTTTTTAAAAAAGATTGAAATTGTTACCTTTGCTGCCACTTCAGCACTAATCTCTTCTTGAGTTTCTGCTAATCTTTTCTTGGCCACTTCTGTTCTTCGATCACAATCGGCAATAAATGACTGCAGATGATCCATAGCCTACAAAGTTCAATTAAAAGACAATTATTTCCAGAAAAATCAACTTTCTTCAGAAATATCTTTACTCAAAACTTACACTTTTAAGTCAATAAGACATATCTGTGGGTGAGCAATTTTAAAGAAAGTGATCAAGAATCTCACTTCCTTTCCAGCTGACAGCTGTGGCTAATATTTCCATTTTATTTATATATATATATGTATGTATGTATAAAGAAGCCCAGTGCACGAAATTCGTGCACTCAGGGGCGGGTGGGGTCCCTCAGCCCAGCCTGCACCCTTTCACAGTCCGGGAGCCCTCAGGGAATGTCCGACTGATGGCTTAGGCCCGTCAGTCAGACATCCTTAGTGCTGCCTCAGAGGCAGGAGAGGCTGCTGCCATCACCACTGTACTTGCCAGCCGTGAGCCCGGCTTTTGGCTGAGCAGCACTCCTCCTGTGGGAACACACTGACCACCAGCGGCAGCTCCTGCATTGAGCATCTGCCGCCTGGTGGTCAGTGTGCATCATAGCAACCGGTCATTCTGTCGTTCGGTCAATTTGCATATTAGCTTTTTATTATATAGGATATATATGTATGTATGTATAATTTAAATTATAAGGATTTTATTTAAAAATATAAATTTACTTGGCACATATCAAATTCTAAAAATGGTTGGTTAACCCAAAAATTTCTTGAAAGTGAAAAGCAGAAAAGAAACTAGAAGAAAATGATAGAGAACTTATCACCTCAGAATAGGGAAGGCCTTTCTAATTAATCCAATAGAGATTTTGAAAAGATTAATTAGATAACAATAAAAATATTCTGCAAGGCCCATAATTACCACAAGAAAAACAGGGGGGTGGAGGGAAATGCAAAGTATTATCTGAGGGAAAGACTAATTTTCATGTCAAGTTAGTACAAATCAACTAAAAATAAATGTTGACATCAAATATTATCCAATAGCCCAAAAAAAAATTGTAAACTGACAGTTCACTAAAAAGGAAATATAAACATCTTAAATATATGAAATATGTTCAAACTCACTCATAAGAGAAATGAGGGTTAAAACTACACTTACATTACACATTTCATCTAAGTTGCAAATAAATCTTGAAAACATACTATGTGGTCAGATGGGAAATAGATAATCTCATATATTATTGGTAGGAGTATAAATTGATAATTCTAATGAAGAGCAACTTGGCAAAATTACTCTCTGACTCAGTTATTGTATTTCTAGGAACTTACTCTATACACTTGATAAGAAAAAATACATTATCATACTGTAATAGAAAAAGACTGAAAATAACCTAAATTTTCACACCCTTACATCTAGATGATAGTAAATTTCTGCTGTATTTTATGCCCAATGTGTATAAATCATAACCCAATTACACTTTTAAGTCAGAATACGGTGATTCCCCCAAATGTTCCAGCCATGTATTAAATTGCATTTACACAGATGGTTTTTATTTCCATTAACAGAAATTCTTGGAAATTCAGAAGTAAATGGGGGGGGTCTACTGTACTGCTTTATCTCCCAAACCAAATAAAATGCCTATCTCCTCACTTACAAAAGGTAGCATAAGATTTATGCTTATCAGTATGTTTTATGTAATGCTGACTGGTATATTTTATTTAAGTATACAAAAAGTTTCCCTATTTTTATACAATTCTCATGTTTGTTTAAAAAAACAGTGCTCACATATATTAAAACTAGAACCATACAGAGATTAGCATGACTCCTGTGCAAGGATGACAAGCAAATTCATGAAGTGTTCCAAATTTTTAAAAAAGAAAAAGTATTAAAAATACACACACAATAGTCAGATTTTGAGCCATTCAGATATCTAAATGGTATCTCCTCTAATAATTCTTCTGTTTTACATTAAAAAACAACATTGTCCTTAATACTCTCCCTCTCTATGTATATATTTACAGGTACAAAAATATGAATATTGCTCAGCCAGCATGGCTCAGTGGTTGAGCATTGACCTATGAACCAGGAGGTCCTGGTTTGATTTTGGTCAGGGAACATGCCTGGGTTGCAGGCTCAATCCCCAGTGTGGGGAGTGCAGGAGGCAGCCAATCAATGATTCTCTCTCACCATTGATGTATCTGTCTCCCTCTCCTTTCCTCTCTGAAATAAATAACAATTTTAAAAAATAGTAACAATATGAATATAAAAAGCCTTATATGCACTAGAAATTGGTTTATATTTGTTTAAATTGATACCTTCCTTTTTTTTTTTTTTAAATATATTTTATTGATTTTTTACAGAGAGGAAGGGAGAGAGATAGAGAGTTAGAAACATCGATGAGAGAGAAACATCGATCAGCTGCCTCCTGCACATCTCCCACTGGGGATGTGCCCGCAACCCAGGTACATGCCCTTGACCGGAATCGAACCCGGGACCCTTGAGTCCACAGGCCGACGCTCTATCCACTGAGCCAAACCGGTTTTGGCAAATTGATACCTTCCTTAATCATTACTACTTTGAGAAAAATATGCTTAATTTTCAGAAGAATATAGGGTGTACTAAAAAAATGTATATACACACTTTGAATAATAATAATAAAGGCAGGATTTATTAAAATACATTTCATTTTTGCCCTAGCTGGTTTGGCTCAGTGGTTGGAGCATCAACCCACAGACTAAAGGGTCCCAGGTTTGATTCTGGTCAAGGCTCAACCCCCGGTGTCGCTCAGTAGTTGAGAGTCAACCTATGAACCAGGCGTGTAGAGAGCACCTGGGAAAGGCCCCTGAGTTGATTGTCATCTGAATCCAGCGGTGCCCAGCAGAGCCATGCCCTGGAAACATACCTTGCCAGAGGCAGGTGTGTCGTCAGCCTGACCTTCAGCTCAGGCACCAACAGGTGGGTTTCATTATCTAAATCCAGACAAGCACCAGGAATAAACAGGATTATCCGGGCCCACCCAGAAGTGATGATTACAAAGAAGCCACAAGAATGCACATAATCTCCTTTGTCTTGGGCTTTAGTAAAACTTCCTGGTATGGGTCACAGTCTCTCTATCACAGAACAGCTGTCCCACCCAGCCCCAGCTTTTTCCTTCTGTCTTTGTCTCTATTTCTCAATCCCCAGCCGCATCTACTCAGGAACCAGACCGCTCTGGATGGGGAAAAAAGAGAAATATTTATACAGGAGGTCACGGTTAGAGTCCCATTTGGGGTGCATGCCTGGGTTATAGGCTTGATCCCCAAAGTGGGGCGTGTGGGGAGGCAGCCAATCAGTGATTCTCTCATCATGATGTTTCTGTCTCTCTCTCTCTCTCTCCCTCTCCCTCTCTCTCTGAAATCAATAAAAATATATTAACAACAACAACAAAAACATTTCATTTTCAAAACTGAGCTATCAGCTGTGTGCATACACATTTTTTGAGACATCCTGTATATAAATTATATGACTTTACATATTTCCTTAAAATATACAGTTTCATCTTATATTTTCTAAAACTGTTAGTCAGGAAGTACATGATCTCACTTCATTTTAGTACTACCCTTCATATAACCACAAACAACATAATTTGCTAAGAGCCTTTCCCTATTAAGAGAAAAATCCATATTCAAGATGTTGTATTGTGACAGATAATGTAACTCATTAAAATAAAATCACATACATCAAGCTCAAAGAAGAAATCTTGTTCTTTGGATGCAATTTCATAATCCGCTCTTAAAGCCAGGTCATGGACTTTCAGACATTCTCCAAGATCCATTCTCTAAGAAGGAAAAAAAGGGGGGGGACACATTAAACAGAAAACACATTTTTTAACAATTCATTAATAACCACAGTACTCCATAGAATAAATGTTAAGTCATACAAATGCTTCTTTGTTTATGGACTTTCAAATTACAAAATTTCATAAACAAGTATTAAACTTGACGTCAAAAAAAGAAAAAAAAGGACATTAATTCTATCTACCAATAGGTGAGAACAGCGATCACTTTTGTACTTAAGAACAGACTGACAAGGAAAAGCCTGTCTGAATCTAAACAAAGCTGGGGGGGAAAAGCTCCTAGCAACAACATGGATATGTTTGTAACACAAGGATATCAATTTTCTATATTATGTCATGTTCAAAAAGAGTGATAGACCAGATAAAATTTAAAAACAATATGAAGTCCTATAGCTATATCTAAGGAGACAAATTTACAAATAACTAGGTATGAGCAGAAAATTAGACAAATTAAAAAACTTACTTGTCAAGAGTAAGGGTTACAGTGTGGCATGGCTGAGATAAATTAACTTACAGGGTATAGTCCAAACAACGTGACAAATCTTACTAAAGGCTGGTTTTAAAAGCAAACCCTCTCTCCTCCAAAAGACACATTTTGTGTGCTAACGCATTTCAAAAGGGATATAAATAAACCAACAAAATGTCTCAAAACGAAGCCATACCAAAAAGCGAAAGTAAAGAAATAATTAGCTGGCCCTAGCCGGTTTGGCTCAGTAGATAGAGCGTCAGCCTGTGGACAAAAGGGCCCCGGGTTCAATTCTGGCCAAGGGCACATGCCCGGGTTGCGGGCTTGATCCCCGGTAGGGGGGCATGCAGAGGGTGGCCAATCAATGATTCTCTCTCTCTCATCATGTTTCTCTCTCTCTCCCCTCCATTCCTCTCTGAAATCAATGAAGATATATTGAAAGAGAGAGAGAGAGAGAGAGAGAGAGAGAGAGAGAGAGAGAGAGAGAGGAAGGAAGGAAGGAAGGAAGGAAGGAAGGAAGGAAGGAAGGAAGGAAGGAAGGAAGGAAGGAAGGAAGGACGGACGGAAGGACGGAAGAAAATTAGCTGGCGAAGAATCATGATGTTAAGAACTTTTCAGTATGAAATAGAAACAGATTTTATTATGGCCCCAAAGGACTCTATAGTGTCTTACAATGTTTTCATTGTAAGAAAACATTTAAGCTTCCTCAGGTTACTGAGCTACCAGATAAATGAAAGATTCAAATACAGTTCAGAAAACCATTTTTCTAGGATATTGCGGAAAGAATTCAACATCAAGTAACTTATTCTTCCAACTCTTGAGATTTTTATGACTATATTAAAAAAGTTTCTCTGTAGAACTATATTATCTCAGTTCTTAATTACCTGAAGGAACAAATGTGAAAACCTAAGTAAACAATGTCCTCAAAGCTATCCTTTGGGAAATTATAAGGAATATTCACCATATTAAAAAAGTCATTACAATAATGGCTCTAAAGCAGTCGTCAGCAAACTCATTAGTCAACAGAGCCAAATATCAACAGTACAACGATTGAAATTTCTTTTGAGAGCCAAATTTTTTAAACTTAAACTATATAGGTAGGTACATTGTTATTAACTTAATTAGGGTACTCCTAAGCGGGCCTTTGCTAAAAACATCCTCAATCTGATTGAGGTATGTTGGCTGAGGTCGACCCCTTCCAACTCTCTCATCCACACTCTTGTGTACCTGTTTCAGATAGACGAGTGTGGATGGAGAGTTGGAAGGGGTCGATCTCAGCGAACGTACCTCAAAACAATGTACCTCCTCCACGCTGCGTAACCCGTGGCCCGCCTGCGCCAAGTCTCCTGCCGCCAGACCGACCGACACCCCCCACTTCTTCTAATGCCACTTCTTCAAAATAGACTCGCCCAGGCCGAAAACCGACTTCTGCGCATGGGCCACAAAGTTTCAATCGCACTGTACGTGCGCGCCCGCACGTGGTATTTTGTGGAAGAGCCAGACTCAAGGGGCCAAAGAGCTGCATGTGGCTCTCGAGCCGCGATTTGCCCACCACTGCTCTAAAGTATCACTGTGTTGCTGAGGATGTGGTGTTTTTCCAGGCCTCATTTCCAGGCTCTTGTTCATTATTCTATGGGCTATAACAAACCAAGTAGTTTTCCAGTAATAGTAAAGAGCAACTGAAACTTTCTGTAGATGTATGGAAATTTAAGGCTGCTTATTAAGCAATATTTATGGAGAAAAGGCTGTTGAAAAAAGTTTAATACTCTTTTTAAAATCCAGGAAAATAAGACAAGAATGAAAGAAGTTAATGGCCAAAGAATGTTGTTACCCTCTTGGCTACAAGGGCCAACTGGTTCCTTAATATCTTAACATCAATCACTCCAACAACTTCTTTTGCATCTGTATGTATTTCCACAACTATAGTTGCTCAAGAGAGGCTATACTTATATCATAAAAGCTTAAGAAGTCACTGTTGGAAATGCTTTTGATCCAGCGTAGTGATTCTTAACCTGGACCCAGGGACCTTTAAAACAATACTGATGAAAGCTTCTGAAGAGAGAAGCCCAAGCCTGGTGTGGAGGAATACTTAATATTTATTGAATGAACCAATCTGGGAAAAGAGGGCAGAGAAGAACATTTGGCCCAGGAGGCCCTGGGCTTAACAATCAAGAGTGGTCAGGATGCATCCCAGGACAAAACTGATCTGAGCTTTGGAAGGTCTTCTCATCTTGGGTTATCTCCTTTGCTTGTACTACTTTCCTTCTTAAGTGTTTCTAGCTACTCCTCTCCTCCAGGAATTAAGACTACTGGGCTTTTCACTTTCCTGGGCTATGAGCACATGTAACTTTACAGTCTAGCCTGGCTTACCATACTAGATTTTGGGGCCAAAGCCCTAGAAGGGCCTAGCTATAATAAAGATTTGGGGGGTTGGGGAGGATTACAATAGCCTGTGCTTATTTTATGGAACAGGACAAAAGAGCAAGGCAGATTTTCAGAGTTCTAGATACTAATCGTTTATTTCCCCCTGTCCACACCATCACGACTAAGCATCTACTGTGAATTGTGCCATACACATGAGGGGTATCCTATATAATAAAAGTCTGATATGCTGTGTCTGGTCAGCCATTCGTCGAGTCAAAGCGTAATATGCTAATGATATGCTAAGACCGCTCAACCACTCGCTATGACCTGCACTGACCACCAGGGGGCAGACAGTCAACCAGTTGACCAGTCACTATGACGTGCACTGACCACCAGGGGGCAGATGCTCCCACCAGGTTAGCTTGCTGCTGGGGTCTGGCCAATTGGGAATGAACAAGATGGGCCGGACAAGCCCTGGAGCCCTCCCAAGATCCCGCCCCGGCCCCAATAGTGCACTGGTGGGGTCCCTTGGCCTGGCCCAGGGCATGTGTCCTGACCAGGAATCGAACTGTGACCTGATTCATAAGTCAACACTCAACCACTGAGCCTTGCCAGCCAGGCTGATAAGTGCTTTTTCATTCTTTTAAAATTCCAAAAGTGAATGTTATCTACCCAAATGGACTCTAAGCTTCCTGAGAAAAATGGTTTATTTCTCTTCTTTTTTCATTCTACATAAAAGACCAGATTCTGCACAACCCATGATTATTAAATAAACTTGATGATTTGATAAAGGAATTGTACTTCTAAAAACTTGAGGAAACAATAAAATAAGTACATATAAACAAGCACTAAGATTTAAGAATAGTGTTTTTGATCTAAAAAGTTAGGAACATTTTAAAATCCCAGCAACAGCGGTTTAACTAATTGAATTAAGGAATAGTCAATATGATACATGACATAGCCATTAGAAAAGTGTTCTTTTTTTATTATTAAATATATTTTTATTGTTTTCAGAGATGAAGGAAGAGGGAGAAAGAGAAACATCCAGGATGAGAGAGAATCATGGATCGGCTGCCGCCTGCATGCCCCTCACTGGGGATCTAGCCTGTAACTTGGGCATGTGCCCTTGGCTGGAATCAAACCCGGGACCCTTCAGTCCGCAGGCCAACGCTCTATCCACTGAGCCAAACCAGCTATGGCTAGAAAAGTGTTCTTGATGCTAAGTGGGAAAAAGATGGCAAAGAAAGACAATAAAATGCCAGTTTTGTAAATTTAGACACAGACATTGCTGTAAGGTTGGTTTATATAAACCTTTTGATAGTTATTAAATTAAATACAATGAGCATATATTATTCTTACAATCAGAAAGTAAAGCCACTTTAATTTTGGAAGAAAATATTGAGGTAACAGGAAAATTATACTCAACAAAAAATATAGCCTAGCCGGTTTGGCTCAGTGAGTAGAGCGTTGGCCTGCGGACTGAAGGGTCCCGGGTTCGATTCTGGCCAGGGGCACATGCCTGGGTTGTGGGCTCCATCCCCAGTGTGGGGCGTGCAGGAGGCAGCCAATCAATGTTTCTCTCTCATCATTGATGTTTCTATCTCTCTCTCCCTCTCCCTTCCTCTCTGAAATCAATAAAGATATATATTTAAAAAAAAATATAGAGAGAGTGTACTACCAAGTGTAAACTAATGGCAGTATATGTCAATGAGTATACCAGTGATAGCAACCAGACATAGTAACAGCTCTAAGTATTTGCAAATATTCTTGCTTTGTTAAGTTAGTACATTTGCTTGGTTCTATAAGCTAAATCCTAAAGGGAATCATAAAATAGTGTGAGACTAATTCCTGTATCAATGAATTTATATTCTCAATGTAAAAATGACATTAAACTAAATTAACAGTTGCAAATGTACACAAAAACATACACACAAGGATCTCATTGCCACTGTACAGCAAAAACAGATGCAAAAAATATTGACATATTAATAGTCATTGCCTCAGTGGTTAAACGTCAACCTATGAACCAGGAAGTCACGATTCGATTTTCCAGTCAGGGCACATGCCCGGGTTGCAGGCTCGATCCCCAGTGTGTGGCATGCAGGAGGCAGTCAATCAATGATTCTTCATCATTGATGTTTCTCTCTCTCCC